TTAAATAAGTGGTTAAAAATATCAAAGACCTGCCCACAGTGTCGGGTCAGGACAACAGAAGAGACAACACACAGGATTTACTTTAATTTTCCAAGCGGCACTATCGAAGAAAAAGCTGCATTACAAAATAAAAATCGCAACTTGGCGCTAATTCTGATAGTCTTTCGAATTGTGAAACAGTCATTCTAGTAAACTTGAAAAACTGTTCATCGTCATTGTTTTTCATAAACTGAAAAAGAGTATAAAAATGGCCTTTTTGCTTCCGCTGTAATAACATTGGCCGAACCCAATATTTTCGTTTAATCTTTTTCTTCTTTTCCGCAATAACTGCAGAATTATCGCAATTAAGTTAATAGCCACAAGAGCTGTTTTTCTAACATGGTAAATATCCATTATAGCTAAATTTTTGCACTTTGTAACAGTTAACACAGAGGTTAGAATCGACGCAAACACGAATTTGCGTTATGGGTTTACGGTTAGGGTTAGGTTAGGTTTATGTTACGTTTATGGGCTGTTATTGTAGACGATAGGAGGCGATTTCTTACGGTTACGGTCTTACGGTTAGGGTTAGGTTTACGGATCTCCATTGGACCCGCGCCTTAAACGGTGTCACGCCTATGTTTGCGAACGGGGGGAAGGAGATCGTGTATCTTAAAACGATCGCATCGACGAGCCACGTAGGCGGACTCACATATATTCGTTTTATCACGATAATGCCGGCAACTAATGCGGGGCACGCATATACGTTCTAAAAATAGCCGCGGAATATTATGCGGTCTTCGGGCATACGAGGCGTAAAGCAAAACGCGTTCGGCGAAGGTCGCGCTTGCCCGTTTGTCACCGCTATAATTCGTAAGATTTACTGATACTTTCGCGTTGAAAAATCCTTATCGCGCTGCTTATTATTAAGATAGATGGATATTTTTAAATATTCTTTATCGAAGCATCAATTACTTCTGTCCTTCGCACGTGCAAGCCGCGTCGCAAAAGAAATTTATGCTGCTGCGAGAATTTTACATTATGTCGCGAGAAAGCCAAGGTTTAGGCGGATATCATGCTACTGAGATTAAGGAGGATAACCATAACCTCTTCGAGAAAGTACCTAGTCTAGGAATTCCAGGAAACGTTTCCTAATGGAAATAATTTTATAAATTTTCACGCAAAAATTATGCGGAAACTACTATTTCTTATAATATAATTACAACTTTTCACGCTATTTTTACGTAATCTTTACGTAAAAAATACGTGATTTGGGCCATGTTTGTAATTTTTCATAAATTTACGTATAAATTTTTATGAATAAAATTTACATCTCTCGTTGAACATTATTTTATTGCTGAAAATCTTGATTACGTGCAAGCTTAATTAAATAAATTTATATTGTACTTAGAAAATTTGCTTACCACCGCTGGATTTGAACCTGAAACCCCTGGCTCTTGAGTCAGTCACCTTCCGCACTGTGCTACAACATTGATTGATGAAGACGTTTCGTATTGTCTACATATGTTACACTTATTGTTAACAGACGTACGGAAGGTGTCAACTCTTGATAAGGTCATATATATATTTCTTACAAAATTGATATCGAATCGATGACTTATCGACATCAAATTTGACATTAAAAATCAGCCGATTTCAATCAAATTGTTTTGGTATCAAGTTGCTTTTTTCTAAGTTACTTCGTTATTTGTGTCCAAAACTCTAAAAATTTTGTCTAAAATTAAGAGACTATGGCCGGTATTCATAGTCGGATCTTATTTTAACTCATGATCCCAAAACAATTTGATTGAAATCAGCTGATTTTTTATGTTAATTTCGATGTCGATGAGTTTCCGGTAAATCGACGTTGAATTGACGTCGATTCGACATCAGCCTTCTCTGGATACATATACTAAATATGCGACATGTTCGACATTGGTCTAGTTTACACCGATCTCTTGATACGCGTATCAAATAGTATATTTGAACTGATCAGCCAATAATCAGATTTATTTACTAGTTATTTACTATTTAATACGCGTATCAAGTAATCGGTGTAAACTAGGCCATTTTTACATCAGACTATGCTGAAATCTGCAACTTTCAATAAGATTTGTTTCTATTCCTGCACTGCTGAACTAGTGCACACTGATGCAATTCAAGTTAGAGTGGGACAAGTATACTTTGTTTATATCTTACATTTAATCATAAAAATATTTTTATAATATTGTAGAAAGTTGTAAATAGTTGTAATTTTTACAATAATTTGCAACTTCTACAAATTACTACAATTTTTATAAAAAATTTTGTTAGAACGTTGTAGAAAGTTGCAAATAGTTGTGATTTTTACGATAATTTACAACTTCTATAATTTACTACGTCTCATAAAAATGTTCGTAAAAAAGTTGTTACAATTTTCTATTACTTTTTACAACTTACTACAATTTATTACAATTTACTACAATTTACCACGAATTTCTACAATTTTCACAAATTTGTGATTTATTGTAGAAGATTGTAATTTTTCATAGAAATACGTAAATTGTTGTAAAATTATTTCCACCAGGGTTGTGATTGCCTTATGTCAGAAAACCAATAATCCAACGCCAAATTAGCAAACTAAGAAATTATTAGGCTCTAAAGTTAATAACAATCTAGCAGGACATGTAGAGCATATTGGTCTACGAAGACCAGAGATTTTGCAACGTCTAGCTGAACAAGAAATCACGTCAACTACTTTGTCTTACACACAAATACGAGAACAATTGATAAAAGATTTATTTCCATGCATAAACTCAACTTCACGTTTTTGTCAAAATAACCTCGATGTTATTTTTACACGTGCTGACAAGAATTCAAAAATTATGTTACTGTAGCGTTAGATAAAAACGTTTATTTGCAAAAAATGGAAACTTTGTTACAGGATAAGAAAACTTACTCTATTATTTAAAAAACCCGACTCAATGTATAAAAAAAAGTTAAATAACATTCTTAGATTGACGTCAGAAAGAATACATTTCTCAACAAAAATTTTACTCTCTTGGCTCAAGTATTTACTCCTACCAAAAGCTTAGTTTCCCTAAAATACACAAAGAAAATTTTCCAAAATTTGTACTAACTTCCACTTATTTCACTTTCAATAACGTCATCTACAAATAGACCTTTAAGTCATTTAAAATTAAATAATTTAATTTTAAAGTCAAATATTTTACAAATTTAAACAAAGGGCTTGCGAACTAGCGAGATGTGTGCTACATTTAATATATTCTGAACAATACAGCTAATCAACAAACGTTTCGGCCATTACTGTGGCCTTCTTCAGTGTAACAAAACAATAACATTAATCGTTAAATATAAATAACTAACGGAATAGTCGTTACACATTAAAATTAAATATTACATTAACCCCCTTATTTTAACACAATTAAAACCGCCAATCGCTTACATACATGCTTTCGTGTAAATCGTCAATCGCATACATTGTTTTCGTGTCGATCCCAATCATAACTCGCCGAAGCAGGAAACACAGATCATCGTGTACATTCGTGTCAAAAATATTTTACTTCAATATTACAAAATATTAACAAAAGAGTTACAAATCGTTACTTTCTTACAATTAGTAACGATAACAGCAACGCGTTACTTTTTAAAATTAGTAACCAATTGATTCGCCTCATTATTCTGTGCATAAAAGTATTAAGGTAACATTACCGAAAACTTTGTGTTTTGCAAGATATTTTGTATTTTATGTTAAAATACTAAAACTTTCAAGCCTTATAATTCCAAAAGTTTTTAACAAAAAAATTCTTTATTATAATGTTTTGAAAAGCTCTCGAGATGAGCTACAAGAATATGCATTGAAAAATATAAGTTTTCCATTTGAGAAATTAAAGGTGTCGTTCACATGAGCTTTAAACGACCATCCATGGTCAAACCAATGACACCGTTTTATGTCCTCCTTCGAACCAAACAACTTTTGTTTGAAATATTTTTCTCTCCCAGGCTTGGTTTTTGAGATATTCGATTGGATGGATTAAAATGGTCCACCCTGTATATAATTCTTCTTGATAAAACTTGGATTTATCTTTCTCATTTCTTTCCTTTTTTCCCTCTATTCTTTCGATTTTTGCATAAAAATTAATATTACATTTCAGTAACTTGTACCGCATTGTTTTATTATTCCTTTTCTTTATAGAGTAAAACAAAAATTAAATATTAAATTAAATAAAATATAACTTTATTTAAAATAATAGTATTTTAATAAAAAAGAGATATGATATAGTGTCAAATGTATGTGTGCAATTGCGTAAAGTTTTACCTTCATTCACTTCCTTATCTTCAATTTATGAACCATTACATATAAATTATTATTTTTAGATGACCACTCCCAACATCAAGCCCGTACTGGAGTGTACACCAGAAGAAAATCTGGTTGGACAGGCATTTAGTCCAATTTGGGAAGTACTACAGAAATACCCAAGCAATTCACCATTAATAACAAATGTCTTGAAAAAATTAAAGAGCGAATTTGATGAAATAAAGTATACTGACCCATGGGAGTATTGCGATGATTTATCGAAAAAGATTAGGAAGGCCTTCTCCGGAATCCGGATATCAAAATCATCAAAGAAAATCCGTGACGAGGTAATATTTATCTTATATCTAACATTATCGCAAACATACTTCACGTGTTTGTGAAGGGGGTTAACTAATTTACTGTTTTTTTTTTTTGTTTTTTTTTTACAGCTTTTAGAAATACTTAAAAAAAAAAAAATGTTGTAATGAAAAATCTTGGGTACTGTTGCGGAGAGAAATTGACATTTAACCCGCAGGTGCTTCTTTGCTGCAGCAAAAAGAACTGTTTAATACTAAAAAATAACTGTTATTACTCATATAAGAACAGGTCAGTATACACAGTACAGGGTACGGATCATGAAAATTATAGACAATAGACAATAGACTGCAGGGAGTGGGCGATCTAGTGAAATTCATTGGTCTATGGTCATGTTTGTAGTACCGTATCATGCATTTTTTCCGGGTGCGGCACCCGGCACCGAATGACAGCCATTCACAGCTCAACTTATCGGAACTTGTGGTTATAGGTTATAATTTCTTCGAAGCTCTCATTTTTATTCCAGGCTTTCAATCTCAATTTCAAAGGTACGTTATTGTTTGTGCACGTCTTTTGAAGAGTGGAAACATTTCATTTCGTACATATTACTTATACAACTGTTTATATTAGAAAATGAGGTCACAGCATTTTTACATTTTTTCAATTATTACTAATTATTTTACATTCCCACTCTTCATTAGTACCTATACTTTACTCCTGTAAAAGGATTTTGCGATCTATAAAGCCGTTTTAAAGAACGAGCTCTGTTTTGTCGGTATTTAGGATTCCCTTAAGTGCCAATAAGCGGAAGAAGAAGAAGAAGAAGAAGAAGAAGACAGCTCAACTTAAAGGAAATAACCGCTGTGGTAAAGTTATAATTTTATAAACAATTTTACGTTTGTATATTCTGAAAACTTTACAAAATTTACATGAAAATATTATTGTTTATGTGAGATAAATTTTTTATACGATTAATACATCGGTTTCTTTAATAACTTGAAGATTCAATGTTTTCATTAACTTATATTATTAGTGATTGGTGATTTATACATAAATTAAATTTTTCTTTGTTTTTAGATGAGAACCACGGAAGAGCATTTCGGAATAATCCTCGATTATAGCGAGCATCATAGCGAGCTAATAACGAATAAATTTGTCGGAGCCAGAGGCAAAGAAAATTTGCACCGACAGTGGCAAGAGTTGGTGGACGTTTTGAATGCCCTGCAGACTGAGACGAGGACAGTAAAACAATGGAAACAGGTGTGTAAACAATTATAATAAATTATAATTATTCATAGATTTTTTAACATTTGAGGCTCAATAATATTCGTAATTCTATACAATAATAATATTCAAAGATAATATATGTATGTGTATATATATATATATAAATAAAGTATGCACGATTTTATATAAACAATAGCTTTATTTAGTACATGATCTAAAAAGATATATAAATTGACAATTTTGTTAGCTGCATAGTAACCGCAGCGAGCATTCATTGAATATATGGATTTTACAGGTTGTCGCAGACTGGAAATGCCGGGTAAAGAAGCAGTATGCTGAATTAAAGAAAGACTTCACAGCTACTGGAGGTGGGGTCCCGGTGATGGAAAACCTCACAGATCAGGAGATACGCCTCCTAAATATAATGGGCATGACTGCAGCAGATGGGGACGAAGGGCTACAGGAATACGGCTTGGAATTTGAAGTATGTTCGTAAAGAAATACTTATTTTTTACTTTTTCACCTACTATAATTTGATAAACATTCACTTTCTTTCTCTGTACGTACGTCTGTCTGTCTCCCTTTCTCTCTACTTTTCCTCCTATAATTTCAATACTTATTTATTTTAATTCAAGTAAACAATAGATGTTTTTTAGTAAATTTGTGGTATGTGTTGTCGACATCACAACTTTTATAGTTGAAACCGCTCGACTTCTGAAAAATGGAATTAATGAAAAATGTACGATTACATTGTTCCTTTTTGCAGTATACATTCATTACTGACAAATCTTATCCGTTAAATCTTCAAACAGTAATTGTTCATGTTCTACAAACCTTGATATGTATTGTCGACGTTGCAAATTTTTACTTGATTCGGCACAACCTCGATTAATGATGTATGTGTATTTATAAGTATTATTCATTGTCAGTTAATTACTAAAGATTTCGTAGTGCACCATTTTTCATAAAGTAAAGTATATTGTAAAACTGAACAATGTACTTTTACGTTTCTCACGACTTCAATTTTTCAGAAGTCGAGCGGCCCTAACTAAAATTTGTAATGTCGACAATACATATCAACGTTTTGAACATGAACAATTATTGTTGAAAGATTTAACAGCCTAGTAATTGCCATGAATGAAGGTATATTGCGAAACTGAATAATGTATTATACATGTTTAATGAATTAAATTTTTCAGAAGTTGGGTGATGTCAATTATAAATGTTGTGATATAAACACCACATACTACAAGTGTACTAAACAACATAAACAATTATTGTTTAAAGATTTAATGCCTGCATTAATTACTCTTTTCATTTGGTTTCAGGAGACTGACGAAGTTATTGAGGTTCTCTCCGCAGAGGATACAGAAAGTCCGGGTACCAGCCAAAATAAGAGGCCCCGATCTGCCTCACTGCCGAACCACTCGGAGTCGTCCAGCCAGCGAGCGCGTTTATCTTCCGAGTTAGTGGACAGTATTAGTGAAATGAACAATAAATCTTTGAGTGTCCTGAATGACATTAATGGAAATTTAAAGCGAATCGCGGATTGTTTGGAAATTATTGTGAAACGCGCGTTTCCGGAATAATAAATGATAAATATACAAATACATGTTTATAGATGTGTATATAACAAAAAGGCCATGTAATATATTACAGAAATAATCTATACATATTATATATATATATATAATAAAAAGTTAACAACAAAGTAACTCAAACACTATATTAAATTCCTTTATCGAATTAATTAAACGACAAAACTCTTATTGCTAATATCAACGCTGTAAATAATTTAGTATAATTTATAGAAAAATAAATGTGGATTTGTGGGATTGTATACGTATATATGTATATGTATACATGCATATATATTTTTTTTTTCCCTGTATGGATTAAAAAATAATATTGTTTATTAAAAGTGCAAGTTAATTAATCTTTGTCTGGCCTGCTGGCCACTTGCCAAATCTTCTTCCTGCATGTTTTCTTGTACGTTATTTTCTTGCACTCCTTCGGGATGTATATCATTCAAAACATCAAGGCGTCCACCATTGCAAATGTTATGCAGCACAGAACAGGCAACAATAATCCTTCCAACCGACAAAGGACTGTATCGTAACATTCGCTCTTTGAGGATACACCGAAACCTAGATTTGAGAGTTTCGATGCATCTTTCTACACAGCAACGTGCTTTAACAAGAGCATCTGTATAGCGGCTATCAGGCGTATTTGGTTGGGCATTGACAATAGGAGTCATCAACCACGGCTGCTGTGGGTACCCAGAATCGCCAATGAGCCACGTGTCGGTGTCTCCTACAGCAAATTAAATACACGTCATTGAAAGTTGTATATACACTTATAATGCATTAATCGTTTGTGTTAATATATGTATGTAAAATATATGTATGTATATGTATATGTATATGTATATGTATATGTATATGTGTATGTACATGTATATGTATATGTATATGTATATGTATGTATGACTTTTGTACCTTACCGTGCTCGTAATTGTTACGTAAATGTTCAAGAATTGCAGAATTCCTCCATATGTAGGAGTCGTGTGTTGCGCCTGCGTGTCGCGGATTCACGTTGAGAATATTTAAATCAGCATCACAGATCTGCAATATATTACAATATATCAAATTGTTTTTATGATAAATAAGCCTGTATATAATGAAGTCATTTATTTTATGTCCGCTTGCGTATATATTTAACTTACAATTTGCACATTTTTTGAGTGGAAGCCCTTTCTATTCAAGTAATTATGTTCCTCTTCTGCTGGGGTTATCAACGCAATATGCGTCCCGTCTATTGCGCCTATCGTGCCCGGAAATCCGAATGATTGAAGAAATGTTCTCTTCTTTTCTTCAATGACCCTTCGGTCAGTCGGGAACACAATCCACCTCTGCCCTAGGTGTCTACATATCAAATAAGTCACCATAGCGACATATCCCGACATCGTTGACTGAGCGATTGGGAACAGAAAATTCTGCCCAATTGACCTCTGGTAGCTTCCTGTAGCATAGAAATGAAGCACAGCCAATATCTTCAATTCTGGAGCTACGGATCTTCCATGTGCAGGGACAGACATATGTGGGCGTAACTCTTCAATGAGGTATTGAACCATTCCCTTATTTAAGCGGAAAAGTTCTATGAATTGTGATTCGCACATAGCAAATGGATCACTTACGTCTCTTAACAAATGCCTCTTATTCCGATATGTTAAAATATCCTGACGCCTATCTTCTTCTATTTCAGCAAGAAATAGGGCATTTAAAATATGCTCTGGAAGCATTTCTGCAATGTACATTTACAGAGATCCAAATTCCAAAATTCACACATTTTCAGGAGACTTGAAATTTCAATCCTTATTCTTTTACTTGGCTGTGTACAATCATAGAATATAAAAATAATTAATGAAATGATGATATACATACCTATTAAAGTTAACAAAAAACTCCTCAACAAAATCTTCAATCGTATACTTTTTTCGGTAAGAAAAAACTTTACAAAAATTATAAATTTAGGAGGTTAGCAATTTAAATATACCAATTTAAATGGAACAATTTAAATCCCCACCTTCCCAGTAAACAAAAAAGGATTGAAAGCGTCAAAACTTGGATAGACAGAAATGAGGATTGAAGACTCACTTCACAACTCGGTGAATTCCTACCTATCCTTCTTAATCCCTGTCTATCCAAGTTTTGACGCTTTCAA